GACCCATTATCAGAATCTGATATAATTCACTCATGTCATTATTCATGTGCAAAAAATCCAGCTATAAATAATAATAAATGAAATAAAACTTTGACGTAAGGCTTTATGCAGCTTCAAATGCATACCTGGAATGCAGATACAGTGTATACATTTTTGGTATAAAATTGACTACAATACATGTATCATATCATGTACTTATATGGAGCTACATGTATAAACAAGAATGTAGATGCTATGAGACAAATGTCCCTTTAATTAATCCACATCGCATCTTTTAATTAAAACCACTTACAGATTGGCAGAACTTAATTAATTCAGTACAGTATAATATACAAAGATCCTGTGGGCACTATCCTAAACTTTGTATATTGTACTGTAATGTATGTATATGGTATGATCCAGTATATACACTGTATATAAATCATGACAATTTATGGCCCCTTATTGTAAACAAAAATCTCAATATTAATATACAGTTGATCAAAGCACATCAAAAGGAATGATTTGTGAAATAAATATGACTTCAATGTAAATCCTAACTAATATATATTATATTGGTACTTATTTCTTTGCTGACAAAATATACATGTTCTTAAATAAATAAATAAATGCATGTAATTAAACCAGGTCAACACTTCACCTTATGGAAAACTAGAAATAAACCACACAATTGCACTGTCATTTCAAAATAATGAGGTAAAATTAATTCGAATCTAAAACATATTTCGCTAAATATATTTTGGCAACTTTTTAAAATCATATTTTTTTGTATTCATACCATTGTCTGGCATGTAAGTTAAGGGGCAGATCCTTCTTATATCTTAGGGGAATTAATCTATATTGAAATTCATCATATTTTTCAATATTCAACCCATTTTTCCTATCAAAAACTAGATACTCAGAATGCCAGAACTATAAAATATACATGTAACCCATACCAAGAAAGTGTTCCCTTTTTTATTTAGGCTTTTCTTTCTAAATAGTCCCCAGAGATTTCCTTGGCATCTACTGAACCCTCATCAAAACATGTTATTGAAGAGCAGACAACAAGTGCAAATCCAAGGAAAAATCAAACTCAAATAAGATTATGGAAATACGAGATATAAAGAGTTTGGTCACCTTTTGCCCTAAAAACTAAAACTAAAAATACTGACTGTCACTTATGACATGCAACACAATTGGGTATAAATTATAAATAAGGTTAAAATAATACAAACAATAATATGGTAAATGTAAAAAATCTGAATATGAGACAGACTGTGTATATAATAGATATATATACAAGTACTATAAAGGGGGACCCTAATATGTACAGTATATACCGGTATGTATATTAATACATGAACACATGAATATTTGTGTGTTTTACATTTTATGTTAAAAGTATACTGATGATCATTCAATACTATGGGTAAATGGTGTGAAAATGAGATTGTTTAAAATAACTAGAAGATTGCAAGCAATCTTACGGAGGCCCTGTAGGCTTTTTTGAACATTTAAAGGTCAGCCAAAGGTCAAATCTTAAATACAAGGACATATATGAACTCCAGGCATCTTGTAGATGATTTTTAAAAAAAAGTTTGGTCAATTTGAAGCAATGTGAAATTTGACCTTGAAAAAATTCAACATTAGACCTTTTTCAGTTTTTGAGGTCCAATATCTCAAAACTGGTGCAGAATTTTAATAGATAATCAATTGTTATTATGTGTAAAACCTTTAGAGGAATATATATCCTGACTTTAATTCAAAAATATTGATTTGTAGTCACAAACTTGGAGAAACTTAGAAAACACAGTTTGTGATCTTGTTTGATGACCTTGACCTTTGACCTTACAGGTTTTACTTTTTTAGACCTCAGTTTATCTTTTCTGATTGAAGAAACCTAAATTTGAATCCAGAAAATCAATTTGAAAAATTAACTTTTTTGACCTTTCGAAGGTCACTGAAGGTCAACTAAAGGTCATAGTTCAAAACTAAGGTCAGATTTGAGTTCCTGAGATCTTGTAGATGCTTTTTAAAAAAAAGTTTGGTCAATTTAGAGCAAGTTGAAATTTGACCTTGAAAAATTTTGAAATTTGACCTTTTTCAGTTTTTGAGTTCTAATATCTCAAAACTGGAGCAAAATTTTAATAAATAGTCAATTGCTAATATGTGTAGAACCTTTAGAGAAATATATATTCTGACTTTCAGTAAAAAAAATTGATTTGTAGTCTGTTTGTGATCTTGTTTGATGACCTTGACCTTTGACCTTACAGGTTTTACTTTTTTAGACCTCAGTTTATCTTTTCTGATTGAAGAAACCTAAATTTGAATCCAGAAAATCAATTTGAAAAATTAACTTTTTTGACCTTTCGAAGGTCACTGAAGGTCAACTAAAGGTCATAGTTCAAAACTAAGGTCAGATTTGAGTTCCTGAGATCTTGTAGATGCTTTTTAAAAAAAAGTTTGGTCAATTTAGAGCAAGTTGAAATTTGACCTTGAAAAATTTTGAAATTTGACCTTTTTCAGTTTTTGAGTTCTAATATCTCAAAACTGGAGCAAAATTTTAATAAATAGTCAATTGCTAATATGTGTAGAACCTTTAGAGAAATATATATTCTGACTTTCAGTAAAAAAAATTGATTTGTAGTCTCCAATTTTGAGAAACTTAGAAAACACAGTTTGTGATTTCGTTTGATGACCTTGACCTTTGACCTTGCAAATTTTACTTTTTTAGACCTCAGAAGATCTTTTGTGAATAAATATACCTAAATTTGAATCCAGAAAATCGATTTGAAAAATCAACTTTTTTGACCTTTCGGAGGTCACTGAAGGTCAACCAAAGGTCAAAGGTCAAAAGTAAGGTTAGATTTGGAATCCTGAGAATTTGTAGATGAGTTTTAAAAAAAAATTTGGTCAATTTGAAGCAAGTTGTAAAAAGACCTTTTTTGACCTTTTTTTGACCTTCAATATCTCAAAATCTAGGCAAAATTTCTCTAGACGGCAAAAAGTTAAGACTAATAGAATACTAATATCTATCTGTGTGCAAAAATTCAGCCAAAAATATTTAAGTGTAGTGTCAGGATTTGAGAAACTTAAAAAAAACTTAGATTTGACCTAGATTTTGACCTTTGACCTTGACCTAGATAAAAATTCCTTTCCCGCCAAGTTCAGCCCAGGTCCCTAGTAGGACTATGTAGTACCTAGTTGAAAGGTAGTTGGAAGTAGGAGAAAAAGAGGGAGGAAGAATAAATAATAAAGAATAATAATAATAAAGAATAATATCTACAAAATTGATAGGAGGCCCCCCGATGGGGCCTCCTAATAAATAGCTATCTATTTGATAGACTATACATTATTGCAGCTGTCTCCTTGGCAAGAAAATATTCCACATACCTTGGCCATTAAATATGTCACAATTGCAGTTTCAAACACATGTACAGTAAAAAGTGGAACACCTCTGTAAGTGGAACAGTTTTTCATACTCTCCTAGCCCATATACTTATTTTAATGAACCTCTGTAAGTGGAAGACCTAAGTGGAACACTTTTCTATGGTTCCAAAGGAGTTCCACTTTATTACTCTACACAGATTGTACTATACTAAAAATTCCAAATCACATATGGCACACAGTGACAGTTGTATCTTTGAGAAACATAAATGGATTGAAAATAAAGATTTTGGTTGTTTTCACTACTACAGATAAAGGTGCTCGTAGGTTATCGCAAACAATTTCAGACGGTATTATCTTGGTTTATGACTATTTTCTGACAATGAAGACAGGTTTATCTTTTAGATCTTTTTCATTATCTCAAAGAAAATTATATACAGTAATAATAAAGTCTAAAAACTCGGAGATATTTAACTAGCAATCAAACCATCAACACACTTTTCAAAGATGTTAACCTCATTTTCACCGAAAATGCAATCATTTTTTACATTGTTTAATGCATTACTATTCTTTATTTTAATGTATCAAATATTTCTTGAAAGAAAAACTTAATTGCTTTAAGATAAATGTTCCCCATGTTGTTTCTCCATTGAAAAATCTCATGCTATCCATTGGTTTCAGTTCTTTTTGGTCATCCAAATTCAGTATCTTCAAGTCCCTGGAGCAATGAACTTTTCCTCTTAGGAAATAGAACATGTCTCAAAGCAAATTCTAATTATGCATTCAACAATATAATATAAAATGTTGCATTTTTGGTGAAAATTAGGTCAACATTTTTGAAAAAGTATGTTGATTGGTCCATTGCCCCTTCAATATCACTTAGGTCTGATTAACTTAATTATCATTATATATACTTTTCTTGAAGATAATGAATTGATCTAAAAGATAAACCCATGTTCATCAGAAAATATTCATAATTCAAGTTAGAATTGTTTGAAATTGTTTGCGATAACCTATGTGCTCCTTTGATACATTTGTGCAGTGATCAAAAAAATTAATCATACTCTTCATCAATTATTTAGTATGAATCTTTTATCAATAATATTAAATCTGCATTGAGTGCTTTCTAGCTATTGCCATTAAAAAATATGAGATAATAGGAACTCGATTGCACTTAGGAATGTCATGTTAACCTGTGACACAAAATTATGCACAGGAAATATAAGAATACTCTAATTTTATCACAAAATGGAAATGTATAAAATAGTCATCTAATCTTTACACTTGTATAATGATAATAATTATTATCCAATGTAACATTCTAGAGTCTTGAAACAAGTCCTTACCCTCATTTTTAACTCTACCTGGTGTAGGTATGAAGGGGAGGGGTATATAAGGCCTTAATGCAAGGCTACATTCTGGAATGTCTAGCTGAAAATATAATATGGGGCTAACTAATAAAACAATACATAAACAGACCAACTCATAGGCATTCACATGATATAATGTACAATAGTTAATGTTCAAGTATTTCACTCTTAATTCATGCCATATATCTTGAAAGAACTTGATTTTCTAGCATTTCCGTACCATTTTACTTCATCATGTCCATTCTTTATAAATATCAATTTTTTCTTCTGTATTTTGTATTTCAAAACACCGTGATCTTTTTACATGATGGGTTGTGCTTGTGCATTGATTCTCCTGCCTCTAGTGCAGTGTATTCAGGCCAGCAGTAAGGGGATGAATCCTATACACTTGAAGATATGTTGTTACCGAGGCTGTCTTCACAGTGTATGTCAAAATTAACCAAACACTCTTATGATATATTTCCTACAGTACAGGTTATAATTAACCCAATGTATGCAATGTGAGAACTATTATAGTTCACGAAGTAAATGAGGTAAATGTTGACTTGCACTGTGCTTAACAGTCTTGGTGTAAGGTTATATATTGCACTGTTGACTGATTTATTGCACCACAACTACATCACCAGAACTTGTCGTCTCCATCCTCTCCGGTTGAGAAGCTGTTTCCTCCATACCATTCTCAATTCCAGCCATGGCCTTAGCCTGGACCTTCTGCTGGAGTTTCTTTAGAAGCTCAGAAGCGGATGTATTCAAGGCAAACCCAGCAGCACCATAGTCTGCCTCAGTTGGTAGTGTACCATTTTGTATTGGAGCTGCACCTGGAGCCGGTGATGTGCTGAGATCATCAGCGGAGACATCGTCACTACCTGTTCCAGATCTGTTCTGGTTCTCACTGGCAGCTAACGCAGCAGCTTCTGCAGCTGCCTTCTGCTCAGCAACCTTTTTCTGTCGCAATAGGTGGCGTTCTTTGACTTTGTACTCCAGTGTGGAATGAGGCACACCGAAGTAGCTGCCAGCACGATGTACACTCATCTCACCACGTTGGACAGCGCGTACAGCTTCTAGTAACAATTGGCTGTTATACTTACGATACTGCCCTCTCTTCGGTCGAGTTTTCTTAACAGGTTTTGAACCATCAACAGGCTTCTCATCCTTCTTGGCCAATGAATTAGCGACAGTTGCTGGCCTTGTTCTCTGACGTTTCACTGGTGGAGGCGGGGCCACAACTGGCTCATTGTGCTGGAAGGCGGAGCTCAAATTGTGGCCATTCTCTAAACCACTTGGAAATGTGTAGTTTGGAAATGGTACCGTTGGATACATATCATCTACCTGAGTCTTGCTACGCACTTTCTCAGCTATAGTCTTAGCAATGATATCTTTAAGTGTGTCTCCTATTTTCCCTGTTGTGATTGATGACTGAGTAATTTTCTCTAGATCCCTAGTTGGGGTGACACTTGTTTCGGCGATAGACCTTGAAGGCTTGAAGGACGGAATCTTGAGGGGAGTGGACGTAGATGTAGGGGAGGCAGGTGATGGAGGGGACGGAGGGGAGGGTCTTGTAGAATAATCACTCGCTTCTTTAATCTCAGATGAATCGGGTTCCATAGGTTTTGAGAGCAGTGATAAAGCCATAGGCATGACAGGCATCAGTGACATGTTCTGTGCCCGCTCAAGCTCCATACGTTGCTCCGCAAGGCGACGAACTAGATCAGGCAACAACGGCAACTTTAACTCATGAGAGTAGGCATCAGTGAGACCATAGGGTTGATTTGGATCCAACAGTGGGTTTAATACATATGGATTAAACGCACCAGCAAAATCCCGTTCATTTCCTAAGCTAATGTTATGTTTCTTGCGGAGTTTCTCAAGCTTCTGTTCCCATGCTTCCTCCTCAGCCTCACCTGTGCTACGACTATCCTCGGCCAATGAAAAGTCACCGTTTTGAACCAGATCTGCCATGGAGAGTTTTGGTTCTCCCAGCTCTTGTTTCTCTGTGGAAATCTTACAAATCTTATTTCTAAGGGTAGATCTTGGGATGCCATACAGGACAGCGGCACGACGTGTACCTAGTTTCCCGCTACGAATATCATCTAGGGCAGCACTTAGCTCCTCCTGGGTATAGTTTCTCTTAACTGAACCATCCTTTCTTTTCCTAAAATCAAATTCAAACTATATTTATCCAAATCTAACATACACTAATGATTTATAGGTTATATATCTAATGAAATTCTTAACTATCACTAATACTTTATAAGTACACATGTACAAAAATAAAAATAAGTTTTTTAGTTATTTCCCTGTTAAATAATATAATAAACAAAATTTATATTTTTACTAATTTTTGCTATTGATATTCTCAACACCTGGCAGTATGCTATCCTATTGTTATAAGACACATTAAGATATATATCACAATATACCGTCAGAAGAATATCACACATACCCTGATTTTTTTACTTGAGGCACTTTGAGTTCCATAGATGGAGGTCTGTTTTGATCATCTAGCTCTACTTTGGTATTATGGCGGGATGAGGCACTGAGGTCAAGTGGTGCATCTGACGGTGGAGAATGCAGCTCAGCCATATTGTTTTCTAGAAACATAGTTTGGTTATGATAATTCATTGAAAATTATACAGTTATACAGTATGTATCTTTTTTTCATAAGTACACTTTATTTATAAAAATCATAGATAAATTTACATCTTAATCATGGCGTAATTGCCCAGAAAGGGCATTTCTACTGCCGCTTTATGTATCAATGGTATCAACGTTTTTGCAATGTCTAGTATAAAACTTGGACCCTTGCCGACTTTGGCCCATTGTGCACAAGGAATGATTATTCAGCCAACCATGACCACATGTGAGAAGAGAAGCCAGTGTACATTGTTATAGATGCAGTCATCACTGGTTTTGTGATTTTACTGTTTATTAATGTTTGTTGCATTATTTATGTGCACTGTATAGTATAATGTACATTCATGCCAAGACAGGTTCATGTTCAAATCTCAATATGGAAATTTAAGATGATTTTCTAATGTTTCCTCAAAATATCAAGAGAAAATCAGGTAAATGATTGAACTGATCTCACACAAAAACATAGTTTATCTTGATTTATTTCATCCTACCAGTATTTAGGTTTTTAAAATGATCTCAAAACAAACAAATAATACATTAAAAAATAATACAAAGAAAAAGGTCCTGGACAAAAACCGTAGGTTTGTCACAAATGTAATAGATGCAAAACAACATGAATAAACACACATGCGTACCTAGTTATCTAACTTAATGATGAGTCTCAATTAAGAGAACACGTTTAACACATAATTTACATTACATCTTCATATGCAATCATATAATTGGTATGAAAAGGTGAAAATGTAGTCTTTGCAAAGCATATAATTTGTAACAGTGCCAACAACTTGAATGTTGTGCAACTAATTGCAACTGAAATGCAATTATCGCTTGGGAGATGATATCAATTCTTTATTGGCAATTCATGCTTAAATCTTTTTATAAGTGGGTTTCTTATGTTCCTGAGCCACTCACATATTTTACTTTTCGAGTGAACTGTTAAGTAAAACCTCATGAGTTGTTTTAATTGTTACATTTTTGTGCAAATCATAATTATTTCCACCTTGCCAGGCCAGTTCTAGGGGTTTTAGTGCTAGTTTAGAAGGCATTCCCATCGGTCCAATATTTCACTATATTGCCTTTCGAAATGACGTTATTGAGCTATTATGATTGGTGTCACTTACCAATATTTGGAGGCAGGAAGGCTAATGGAAGTGGATATGAAAATGGCAGCAACTGGGCCAAGTATTTCATTCCTGCAATACAAAATACACCCCATGTATATTAAATATAATGCAATATTACTGACATAAAGAGAGACATTACGCAGCTGTAGTAAGCATTTTCAAATCATGGTACACAGCTAGTTTGACTGCCTAATCACAACTCTGGTCTCCTATCAGGGTAATCTTACTTTAAACTGGAATCATAATTCATAAAACATTAATCATATAAACTAGATATAGAACATATTTCTTCGTTAGCTTGAACACAACTTAAGCAGCTCTATGACAAGAGGTTCCCATGTAAAATGCACCTCTAAAAGATGAACACCCTCACACAAAAGGTTCCCATGTAAAATGCACCTCTAAAAGATGAACACCCTCACACAAAAGGTTCCCATGTAAAATGCACCTCTAAAAGATGAACACCCTCACACAAAAGGTTCCCATGTAAAATGCACCTCTAAAAGATGAACACCCTCACACAAAAGGTTCCCATGTACAAGTAAAATGCACCTCTAAAAGATGAACACTCCCACACAAAAGGTTCCCATGTAAAATGCACCTCTAAAAGATGAACACCCCCAAACTTGAACATTTTCAAGAGCCATGCATTTCTCTTTTTGGGTCCTAAGTCAAATTCACCTCTCTTAGACAAATACAGATGTACAGTTCAATCTACGAGGCAAATAAAATAAGCTCAGGAGTAGGCCTGGTAATTACAACGCAGCACTGCATCATAAAATCTGGCTAAAATTGTGGCAATGATCCTGGATTCTCGTTTTACAATGTATGGAAAGTTCTCAGGTCTCGCGAACCTAACTATGTAAACACATTTTCGATAAATTCCCCATTTACAAATTAGGAAGTACAGGATACAGTTGAATAAATAATGCATTTCCAAATAGCATTAGTTAATAAGATGAATGCCTAAAACTGCAATGATGCTACAATAAGATTATTGGTAATCCCAGGATTATATCCAATATCAATCTATGGCAGGAGGTCGAAGGCTCAGTTCCCAATAAAATATGTCATAGTTTATGAGCTTGTGCATCAACCAAGACCTGGATTTGAGTAATATACCTGAGTACAAAGCATTTCACCATTTGGAAGATCATTAAATCCCATTGAATCAGCTCTATAGGGCTGTCAATTCACTTGCTCAGGGGTTTCATCAAAATGTTTGATAACAGGCGGGCAAAACAAAAAAAGCAAGTAAAATTATTGGATATTATAATTTCACATTGAAACAATTTCAAAGTTCCTCAAAACAACAGATAATTTTGGTAAAAACGACCAGAGAGAACTGTCTGTCACTTGCTGCTGGTGAAACCCATGTTTGATGTGAAATGGAGGACTAGCCATTTTTGATTCAGATTTCCTGTTCAGTGCACCTATGAAAATATTACCTGGTTCTTCTGTAACTGTGGCACCTTCTGAATTACATTCATCATCTTCTGTTGGTTGTTGTTCTGTTTGTTGCTGTTCTTGGTGCTGTTCCAGAAGCTTTTGTTGCTGTTCTTGTAGCTGTTTCACTTGCTGTTCCTTGTGCTGCTGTTCTTTCTGCTGTTCCTCTGCCTGTTGCTTGTAGCTCTGTTGTAAAGCTTCCTGTAAAACAGCAATATATTTGGATGAGTCTTGCCCTAATGGTAGCACCCCCATCCTCATTCTATGGAAAGGAATATGGAGATGACTTGAGACTTGTATATGACTAATTTGGACAAAATAATAATGAATTATGAATCAAATTATCTTATTATTAAATTACAAATAATGTGAACTAGATGCACAATGAATATTTGTCTGACACTGCACATTGACTTGTTCTGATAAAGATGGTGCAATGTCAGCTGAAAATCCAATTAATTAAAACATTAAGTATAGTTGACTTCATTGATTCATTATTTATATCATTTATCCAACTCGTGTATGGCTAATTATAACACTCATTATTATATTTGGATACCATGATTTATTGAACCCTCCTGATATTCCCCATCACAAAACCATATTCCCCATAATAAAGTGTAAGTGTAATACTCAAATGAAAGACCAACCAAAAAGTTATCAAATCACAAAAGATTCTTGTGCACAATGAAATTATCAACTGATCTGTAGTGACTGTACATTGACCAAATGACTTGTATAGCATATGCAGCCAAATAGAATATAAAGAATGAAATATATAATTGTTTTAGAAAGTGGAGTTCAATGGGAACAGGATCAATGCTTTTTTGAATAAAGTTTATTCAGCTAGCATGGAAATCACAACAATTTTTGTTTAGTGTCCTTAGAGGTGTTCAAACAAATATCACATATTACTGCATATCAAACAAATGCTTTTCAACTTAGAGACATTGTACATGTTATCATACAGGTGTTTGACTTATAGGTGTTAAACTCTAGAAAGGTGTTTGATTTATAGAGGTGTTTAACTAACAGAGATAGTAGTGTTCTACGGAAGAGTGAAATAACAATGGTACACATGCGCCATCTATTTTGGACATAAAGCCTGGCAAATAGGACCAAAGTGTTGACAAAGAGGACATCAACTAATTAAGTAGAGTCACTAAACAAGTTCAAAATGTCAAAACAAATCCATCAAACGGAGGCATTTCATGACCAAAACCAAACATGATGAATATAAGCTGGACTTGGGAGACATTTATTACAGCATTTAAACACAAATTAACACACCAGGTGACATCTTAAGTATTTTTGGATAGACATATATGGCCATAGTTAATGTATATGTGCCTTTTGGCAATTGCCTAAACATTCTTCATTTTAAGTGTTTTTGAGGCTGCAGTACAACGACACCAAAAGTGATGTTAAATTTTAGTTATAGATAGATATCCTTTAGGTTTTCCTACTAGAGTCCATTTCACTGCTTCATTGCATCAGTAGAACGGCAAAAATAAGAAATTGGGAGACCATTGTGCAATAATATATGGAAAAGTATATTCATAATGTACATGAATGACATTTGTATATATTTCAGATTTTTTAGTTTTTTGTGCAATAAGCCTGTGCCGTCTTGTAATTTGAAGAATTTCAGCCATGTTAATCTTATTGAAAATAACATGGCAGAGAAGCATCCAAATATAAGAGGCCACACACTTTATAAGCCAAACTAGAAGCAATCCAAGATATACAAATAATAAGGATGGTTCAACTCAATTTTTTGGGTTTATAAATGGTCTGCTAAAAATCTTACAAGAATAACAAAAGATGTGCATCGCAAGCACACATTCTCCAATGAGCAAGTTGTTTTACCATATATGAAACCCAGACAAAATACCCCCAAAATTGCCTGAATAAATTACTCAAATTCCTTTGTTTTTGATTTGTAATTTGTATTTATAAGTAAATTAGATGCAATGTACATTAATACGTTTAATAATGTATTGAAAGGTTTATATACAAAAGAGAGTATAAATCTGATGATTAGATTAAAGATGGGGTATATGTGAATCCAATGTTGCTAGTCAGCGGGAGGTTTTTATGAACGTAACTGTTGGATATTGCACTTTGTCGCATTAGATTTGGCTTTTTATTTCTAAATGAAAGCCATCTAATGAATAACCTGACCAAGTTTTCATTTTTATAATCTACTCAAATACAAAGCATCGCCTATAATTGTGACTTCTTTTGATAATAGAGATTTTGTTTCATGAAGCCAAGTCCCTGTGGGGATGAAAGAATAGGCTGTTATTAAATCTTGGATATAATGACGGGTGCAAAAGGAAGATGGTGAAGGTGCGAGAAAACCTAATTATGACACGATGATCATTTCCAAGGACTACATTTTTATGATTTCTATATCAGTAATTCACGTTTTGGAGTTATGAAAACAAGAAATGAATCAAGTTATGCAATTTGTTTGATTCTTGATTTATTATCACTTCAAACAAATCTAGTTTTTTAATGAAAAATTTTACAATATTTTATGTAATCTTTACTGTAAGAGCTACCAAATAATTACGCAAAATGAGTCATCAACTTCACAGTAAGGATTCCAGCCAAGATGATACAGAAAGCATCTAATCATGATCTCGTATTATTAACACCTCAACATCAATTTTCATTTGTACTCAACAGCCAAATATACACCAATATTACCCCAATATTAATCCTCAAATTTGGTTAATAAAAGCGGAGTATAGATTTTGGTTGTATGTCAATAGTCTCAATGCCGGACCATATGCTGTCATTAATTAACATTTCATCTTCAATAAGGCCTTGTGCCATAAAACTAATACAAATACACATTTGTTTAATCAATGAGAGATTTTAATTATAAATGATAATTTAGCATATGATGGTACAGGGTCAGCAAACATTAAAACCAAAATAGAAGACTGTCTATCTTCTTTTGTTTAAGAAATCTCAACACCCCGTGACGCTAAAAAACAATTACTTGAACCAGCAGGTGAAAAATCCAGCTCAATGGGAATATCTAAATTGTATTCATAATTGCCTGCCTACTGATATATCTCTGCCCCTGCTGAACGTAAAAAAAAACATATTCATCTAATGTAAAAAGCATTTCCTAAGACAACTCCTATTCTAATGCGTTGTTTTTTCACAAAACATTTCTGATGGGAATGTCTTGAATTTGACAACTTCCTTTGCTAATGGAGATTTTTTACAATGTTGCAATGTTAATTAGGATCTCTATTGTTACACCTGTGCATAGGGAAGATGTACGCCTATTGGAAGAGCTCATAAGAAGTGGCCTCCTAAAATGTCAGTGTTTTTACTAAAAAATCAATACTCAACTCTGTATGTTCGGATTAAGCCGAATAATTTCACGTTTACACCTTTAGTAAAAATCATTGGCGATTCACAATGTGTTGTCATAGTGACAAGGATGATGCCTCCGGGTGGGATAGATTGGTTTTCATAAAGGTATCTCGAAGATGACCGCATGGTTATGGTTTAATTTTGATATATGATCACAAGATTCATCAAGCTCTATAGTCTTATCTTCTGATGCATATTTAACAATATGATATTTACCGTGCTATGTTTAATGATGAATTTTATCGTTGTGTTTTTTGTTGATTAGCAGTGGCTCTAGATCTGGCGCGATCACTGTGTTTGTTCAGTGGGCTACATTAATATTTACTAGCATCCATCAATTTAAAGTAAACAATAAAATCGCATAATTTTATTTGAAAATGACAAAAATAATGGTCTATTAATGGGAAAATATGAAATTAGGTACAAAATCTGTAAATACAAAATTATCATAAATAACACATAGAGTATGCATTTATACCAAACTTACATCAACAGTTTTTTCTCGCTTTGCATCACGAAGTAGTTTATCTGATAAACATAAATTATCTACACTATAGGTTGCTTATGTTATCACCTTTCCTTGTTTTAGGTACATGTACATAAACAGGGAACCGCAATATCACAAATACATTTTTAATCAAATAAATAATGAAGTTATCAATTAATTAACATAGTCTGAATGGAAGATAAAATGTCACATATAAGAATGTATTAAAATATGTATCTATAATCCAAATTGTAGTATTGGCATATATTGTATATTCATATATTGTGTGATTAAGTATCATTTGTGAACCTTAAATCAGTGACAGTGGTGTATGGTACACAAAAACTTTTGTAAGTGAATACTCAAAATCTGAACAGTTTTTTATTCCGATATTTTTTGCTGTCCCATTGACTCTCATGTTATAAGAACCTCTTATATGAACACCTCCAAATGTGAACATTTTAATCAATACCACCAGCAGTGCTCACTCAACGTATATTAAAAGTATCTAATGGAACTAAAACCTAAAATGATTAATAAATAATGTCTTGGTCACAACTTTGTAAATATAATGTCAAACAAAATGTAGAAACCAATACATTAGGAAGTCAGACTTTGACTAGACTATTAAACATGTCATATCTGTACACATCATTGCTATTGATTGAAAAATATCAATTTGATTACTGTAAATCAAACTATTTCACTGTCAATGACATTTATAGACATTTACAAAGTACAATGCACATGCAAGAAAAGTGCCTTCTAAAATTGAAATGGGTGGGTAAACAAAAAGACGAGACATTAGAACAGTGCTAGATGCAACCAACCCAAGCCAAGTTCTTGTAGTCAAACACAACAGTGGCTATTCATTTCTCAGTAAAGATACAGTGAGTAAGAATGAGGGGGGGGGGGTAGATTTTGAATGAAAACAATCCCTATGAATTAAAGTTTTTCTTCCAGGCTATATATAATCACTAATTCATCACTGACTTACAAAAAGCATTTTGGTTCGAGACTGGCAGAAGTAGCATGTGTCACATGGTTCCCAATCTGTGTGCTCACTGTGTTCTCGACTCTCACGATCTGAAAAACACAAATTGGATATTGAATTTCCCTTTCAAAAACATGCATTTTATACTCTAAATTTTACCCATTATAGTATAACCTATTATAAGCAAAGGCTATAAGGTAAAGGCTTTTACAAGCACGTGGTTGGACATTTAAAACACAATACAAAGATGACTGTACATTTTTTATTCAATAAAAAAAATTACGAGCAGCAAGCGTAAGAAAACAAATTACATGTTAGCAATTTTCTTTAAAAATATATTTGGAGACGTGTACTGATTAGATTCTAATCGACAGCTGCTACCGCCAAGTTCTTTGTATTTGGTTGATCCGATAATTGGAACTGTAAAAACTGACTTAATTATATTAAAATTTAAGTAAATATTCAAATTGAAGAAATGGTCAATCTATAACACACGCACAGTACGAATAAATGATTTTATATCATATTGGGAACGGATGCATTAACCGTTTGCAATTACGATGCAATCATCAATTTATAAACAAGTTCCGTTTATTATCTTGGTAGGGTTATTAATGCATTAACAATGAAACAGATCCTACTGATTATAACCCCATTATGATTTTGATATCTTTCTATTAGACCATATTTACTGAAATTAAATTGATTCAATCAATTTCTTTTGAGAGAAAAAATCTGGATTTTGCCACTTTTCCGATCAGAAAACATGAGATAGGATTATAGGAGATTATACTGCGTAATTTAATGAATATTTGAGCATTCAGGATATTATTCTGATTGTTAGGAAGCCCTAGATATGAAATTAAAGGTAGACTTATCTCTCAACAATGCTATTAACAAATGTATTCTTTTTTGAATTTTCGACCATCCAATAAGCAGATAAAGACGTTGCTATAGCGATATTACATCAACTTGAGATCAAAGGGAAGCCATCATTTCCAACAAACAATAATGCAATTTTGTGATAGCTATTTCTTTTTTAATATAATTTCCTTAATTTGTTAACAGTGTTTCAAGATATGAACGTCAAAATATCTGATCATAATTGATAGTAGCTTGAATAAGAAATACGAGAAAGACACATTTGATAACGTACACTTTCGTGAACAAACAATGGCAGAAAGTAAAAAACAGAAAAAGTGATTTGTCATGTGCGATCAAATGAATAACACATTGGCAACATTAACGAAACTGATGTGGATTTCCCAGAATTGATTTCCCAAATTATTATTTTATTCATAAATATGAAATTTGAATGATCACATGTTGCATTTTTTTCTAACATTAAACTGGCATGTTCGCACAAAAACACAAAAGCATAAAGAGGACATTAAGAAATGTCCTTGATATAAAGGCATATTTCAAAACAATAATGACTGTTTTAATGTTCGACTGAATATCAATTAATATGTCTCCAAAAGGTAATCTAGCTTATAAAAGAGCCAGTCGGCTTAACATAATTCTGAGTCATTAGTTTTATTAATTCACCGTCTAAAAGCGAGATATTTTCCGATTTGAAATGATGTTGAGATCATCATTATTAAAGCCAAATTAAATATGGCTTCTTGAATAAATAGGCCAGGTAAAAGTGAAACCTAAGTGCATATCGCCAACAGCATTCCAAGTTACCTGCATAAATGGCGAGGAGTTCAGTTTCTGTTAATTAAAAAAGCAATATCACCTAGCAACAAGTGAATTCCATTTTCAAGATATTTTGGTAGATTAGTCAAAAATCATAAGAAAGATTCAGTTTTTTCACATGCAATTTCACATTCACTTATGCGGAAAAAAGAACATATTTTTAATGCCTATCAATTAACATTTAAAGGTGGCTTCTTGTTGTATTTCATGACAAATTACCATTATGTTAGTAGCTATTTTAAAATATTCACCATGATTACGATTTACATGTTAGTTTTATTGTTTGTACGTCAACAGTCATGAACTGGCGAATAATACCCCGAGATGTCAGTTTCAAAAATCAAATAATGGTAAAGTGTCAATTTATATGAAATACACAATAACGATATGAATCAATCATATGTATTCAATCTAAACGACAATTTTTTGTTAGTATTAACAGACAGGATGTATCATCTTTGATAAATTACTGGATTAAAGTTGAGTACACAAAATTGAGGATTTGATATTTGCATTTCTGACATTCAACCATGGCAAATTGCAATTGCTAAATGTAAAAAAAATATAAAAGTGAATTTTAATATCTCTTTTGTCATTGATGCGGAACTTCAGATGTTTATGAAGGCAATTATGTTATTTAGAAATTACCATTTTGACATCGTACACCAAATTCCACTTTAAACTGTTTAAATACCATAAGATGGATTTTAAAGCAATTTACTGAATTTATGTATAGAATAATTCTATTTGCGAACGTAAATTGCCGCTAAACAATATACAAGATAATGACGATAATTTATCTTCCGAAAAATTAATGCAAACACCGCTATTTTTTTATTTCTTAGTCAATATTTACATGGTTAAGATATTAAACGATCATCTATTTTTGCATCACAACAAGATTATAAGCCTAATCTTCTAAATGCTAATTGATGGCTAAGTGTTATTCAAATCAGCACCAATTATGGATGAATTCATAGAAACTGGATGTTTTTGAATCATCTCATCCTTATATATACAAAAACAATTAATTACTAATTACCTGATAAATAATAAAGAATAAAAGAAAAAATCAATTGCTTGTTTTAATGGTGTAAATAAAGAAGAAGACGTTATCAATTACCATTGTTAGGAATTTTCACAGAATATTCAGCCACATCGAAACCATAAAATTAAAGAAACCGGAAGGAAGAGTGTGAATATATACCATAGGTGTGTGTTTATAAAATGAATTGAAGATATGAACAAATGTAACAAAATAAAGCTGTTCAGTATACAGAACAATAATGTAATTAAGGTTCCTTCAGGACATTTATTATTCCCACTCCTTTCTAATTTCAACAACAGCTTTCTTTAATATCAACTTTTTCAATTTAAGTGATCTTAGTTCTATTTAGCAATCAAAAATATCCATTGCCATTGTACATGTACTATCATGTCTGAAATGTTGTATTCATTTTTTTAGTTGTTATGTTCAAATAAACATACAGGTACATACCACACCCTTTCATTCGAGTTGTGAAATAAGAGACACATGTGTTAAACATCACATTTTTAATCAAAAATTCAAAATGGCCCCCAAGTAAACTAAGCATGCCCAAAACCTATGCAGATCTTGCCACTGGTTTGCTCTTGCATCTGTTAGCCTATAGATTGAATATGTGAGCAGTTTCCTGGAATTTTGATCAAGATTTATGTGGTGCCTGCCCACTCGATGCACACACACACATAGGAACAATACTACAGTTTAGCACATCAAAACAATGGTACCCCCCTGCAGTAAAAACTTAATGGTACGTGGTATTTCATGTATCATGTTGAAAACAATTTATTCTGGAGTTACATGTGAAATATTAGCCTATTGTTTAAAGGTAGAATCAAATCTATATGGAGTGACAAAATTGCAAAATGTACAGTTGACTTATCAAATATAATGTCTTTCAAATGATCCACAATATGTTATAAATTGGTGAAGTTATTAAGGATTTAAAGTGCCAAAATGGAGATACAATGTATCCTATAATCAATAATAATCCCCATATAGCCAGCCTTTGGTAAGGGGGGGGGGGGGCGGCACAGTGAGACACAGTGCACGATTTTTCACTTTAAACACACAACATCCATTAAAATGAACGCTCAATTTCTATATCACAAATGAAAAATGAATCATTTAATTGTATGTTCAATTGGAATGTTTATAAAAAAGAAAATGGCACTTATCACATCATACATACATATATATACAATACAAAATGTCACCAAAATGGTACCTTCTTCCTCGAAATAGAAAGAATATCCTTCGAGAAAGCAACAAAAAGATATCAAAAGAGCCCCCTTTGCTATGGGCCTAGTAATAATTCAGGATTATGACCTTCTGTGAAAACATCAGCCCGGGTTTTATTGTGCAAATGTAGAGACTGTAGTAGAAGGAAGACAATATAATCTGGGCCTTTGTTTGAAAATGCCAGTTATTTTACTTCAACCTTTCTTACATTTGTAAACTACAAAAACATTAGTTTGATTCAAGTTATATTAATGCTATTGTTGAGAAAGATCTTTGGAAGGTTATTTAATGGCTAATTACTCCAGTTTTAATATAGGTCATTAAAGGAGGGTAGTAGACTGATATGATAGGGGTAACTATGATCGATGAACTTTGAAAAATTTCTTCCTCTGATGTCAAGCAACAAAATGTTCTTCTTGTAAAATGACGTAACCTAGAATATATATCGGTAATGATGAACGTTTTTTGAAGTTTGCTGATGAAATGAACTTACTATTGAACGGCTCTAGCAGTTTGTTCATGGTGTCTGCGCCAACCAGCTCCTCTGCGACTTGCTCTAGGCCTGAAAATATAACAAAACATAATACAAGTATAATTTAATATAATGGAGATATTCAGAGTTTAACAAAAACCCAAGATAAAAACATACAGGCCATTAAGGCATACCCCTTTAAAGAATCTCGAAACAATAGAGAGTGTGCGATTTTTGAAGTAATCTTGAACACGTACACTGAAATGGACATGTCAATATGAAAGATGCAATATAGAAATTGCCTACTCCGGAACACATCTAAAAATGCTGGTATTGCCTCCATTATAGATGAATTATCCGATCCAAATGCTATAAAAACAAAACTAGAGAAATGCAAATCATTTATTTAAGTATACTGGTACTGTCTAATGTTCTGATAACTTTACATTAAAAAAAGTTTTTGCCATTATTTGATCATCAATCTCTACCTGTATTTTTGTTACATTATGACATCATTATCGTTTAATCGAAGTTTTATGCTATGTTGGGTTAAAGTAATGTCTAAATTGAAATCTATCACGGCTGTTACACTGTAAAAAACATTAAGTAGATACAATTTTATCTAATATGGCATAACTAAAGAAGTCAAACCAAAAATAAAGTTCAACTGCTTCACAAAAGAAGAAGAATCTAAGACAAATATTCAGTTGTATCAGAAATTAAATCAATATCAAAAAGGTACTTTTGTAATACCCAATTATTAGAAAATATTTTTGAGTATTATGTACAGATCTAATTCCCCAAAGTACATTTAAAAAGCAAATATCTATGCTAGCAACTATATCATCTGAAGCACATTATCTCCAAACTACTCGCCTCAAATAACTTTTTGATCATTTACTTTAATTATGTGTTCTTTTAACTCATAAATTGATTAATCATTGTTTTGTGTTTGTAGATCATGATTCAAGATTAATCATATAATTTAACTTTCAAACACAATTCATTATTCAAATAAATAAAAATTATTCAAATTGTTTATCTTCGCATCAAAACCACATGCATAAAGGTATCCTTTTTACTTGAGAAATATATCATAATTTAATTGAATAGGGGCAAAACTGACCTTCTCTCATATAGATATTAGGCATGTACAGGTATCATTTATTCACTGTTAAAAAAACAAAAAGTATGCATGGTTTTCTGATAACAGGATACATATTAATTTATGCCATTTATAAAGCAATTTCCACATTAATATGGAGATTTAGGGGGAGTAAGTAATGAATGCCACCAAGTGCTTTACTTGCTAGATTAAACATGCATCAGTGTGAATAATTCATCAACTCTCGCCAAAATATATCGGTAAAAAGAATTGCGGCATTAAAGGTAAAATTAATCATGCATATTTGAAAAGCAAACTCATTTGACATCGCAAAAACCATCGAGATAATACAGTCCTGGACGTTTCTTAATCCCAGGTATTAATGCCTTTATTTTTGCATTAGCTACTAAGGAGACAAAAAATCAATATTACATTTGAATTTTCGGTACTATCCCTGCTCAATAAACTGCAGAAACGTGGTGTTTATTTAATGTGCCTTTCTGGATCAATAATCGCTTGTTGAAATTGTATGGATCATATATTTTGTCGTAACAAAGGTATTTTACGTTTTCTGTTTGTCGTGAGGATTGGGTTGTTTATTACTATCGAAATGGCTTAATGGATAGTAATTTTGAACATGCTCGTTAATTTTAAACTGAACTCTGCGGCTAAACAGAGCAATAAACAGTTCAATTTATGGTCTACAAGCAGGCAACAAAGATTTCCATAAAGCTTGCACAAAACATGATAATTGTAAAATGGATACCACAATCAAAATGTCCAGGTAAAACAAATTAATAAATAACAACATTTTAGTATAGTCAATTTTCATATCAGCATGAAATCTTTCTAACAAAAATATAAATATACATGTCTCATTTTGGTTTCTAAATACAAAACTGTTGCCATGGACTTTCCTAATAAGGTGTGAATTTGGAGTTAATCGCCTGAAAGTCATTCTGAAGGTGACTTGACGATCAATATTTCTCACCGCACATTAATGTAACAATAACTACATTATCATCATAGCGGATAATTTGGCTGATATCCCTTTTAAATGTGCTTCAGAATCTGACATTGTCATATGTCGGATTATAATTATCACCAACCAGGGACGCATGGTATTCTACAATCTGACGTAATAATTCTTTTTGACATGTCACATTCTCAAATGTATCTAATAATATTGTGAAAATATAATCAGGAAATCGTGGAAACATATTTTCCCGTTGAATGGCGGAGTTTGTTGAAGCATAAAGCATTTGTTGATGGGTCTAGGGATAGTACAGTACCTGGTAGATAAATTGTACCTCCCGTCATGTTTATTTCTCCCAATATCTCCGCAAAACCCTCAATGAACTCATTCATTTCTCAGTAATTCTATATAATTAAGGTTATAGACTATGCCTGATTATCAAAATCCTTGCAGATTTCATTACTTTACACTCTATTTTGCTTTTCAAAATGAGGCTACCCTGACATTTTATCTGTCGAAGAATCTGGCATCTTAGCCATTATTGAGCTTATCAATAGAAGAATAGAAAACACGCACCACCTTGTACGTGATTAACAAATGTTTTACAGGATTTTTCTAGATTTGGCTGATAATATGCAAAAAACTTTTCATAAAATCAACTAGGAAATTGTTTCCATATTTCTGACACATTTAGAATGAGAACAACAGATTAAAAATTAATTCAAATGAAGTCATGCTCTTATAAAAGATAAGATTTTGTAGCATTTGCGCCATATTTAAATGTAAGTTCCTTCAATTCAGAATAAAATACAAATAGGTATTTATGCATATAAATCGATGTGTTGTTAGATTTTATCTTAGATATCATACACTTAAAACACACACTCAAAATATTTAACAAATCCTATATGAACTGATAACTGGACAAAAGATGAACAAGACATTTGATACTCTCCAATTGCAGGGATCTAAAATTCATTCATATGCCTTCATAGACAGGTTCTAGATCTCTGCATCTGGAGAATAGAAATCTGATACTCTTGGATTGAAATGAGTCTGAGAAAATATTCAAAACACCCATACATACTCCAAACTTTCTAAGATTTATGACAGTATAAACTGATTGTTAAAAAAACATCAAGGACAAGGTATATGAAGGTACACACACACAACAGTGTGTTTTGAGGAGTCTATTATGTTTTGACAGAATTTTAAAATAACCAATTTTTATATGTTAAAGATGAATAAATATTCATTATCATTTAAAATATGTCATCTAAAATTGAGTAAGCCATTTACAGATTCTAAGATATATCCTTTTCATGCCTATTTTCAAAATATCATAAGTTCATATTCTTTATTCTGGAAATCCATATTTACTTTGTATATGAAACAAGGAGATTTTTTCCCTGAACTTTTTCAACTTTCGATCTTTTTCCTGCCTTAACAAAAAGATTTCAGAAGAATATCTATTATGTTTTTAACTGAAAAGTAGCATTTTATCTTTTAGTTTTAATTACTTTTTTCAAATATGATTCACCTATTTTTGGATACGGACTACATATCTGGTATTTATGGGAATTACGATAAAATGATTCACAATTTTGATGCTGTGGTCTCTATAGTAGATCCTAGAATTAGAACCCTATTAAACATATACAACACATAAATGTAAACAAAAATGCAAACACCAATACTCCTATTCGCGATAAGAGTTCAGGTGGTAATTTACATAAATATCTCCCATGATGCATCGCTTTGGAAGGGACAAATTTTCATTGACCCGCCGAACGAGTCGATTACTCTGAACGTTTCTCAGCTTCTGATCTTGCATCAGCCCTCCAGCATAGTTATATAATCCAATCTATTCAATAATCAGAAAGATAATCGGAGATTCAAAGTAACATTATTTATATTTTTCGATCTTCGATGGCGTCTGAGCAATTTCTGGGATATCAGTGACGTCACTGGAATTGGACGGCATTTTCAACTACTGATTTCTTCGGATTTGGGAATTATAGCTCAAAAAGCTTTGTCATTTATCTTAATTACATACATACCTATCGTTTGTGCAAATGAAACTCTACATAAATGTTTAATAGAGCCGCAGTGCAGCATTGAAAATAGCACCCCTGTGTAATCCAATGGGAAAGAACCCGGATGTAGACGAAGTTGTACCATACATGAGAGCTCTTCAAACGAGATGTAGCTAAACTGAACGAAATTAAAAGTTATCGCGTATTGGTATATTGTATTATCAACCTTTGCCAATGCACTTTTTGAGGACAGCTGAGACAAAAGTACAATGACAGACATATTTGAAATGTAAAAGTAATTAGATTAGAGAGTGTAGTTCAATCTAAAGTGGAATAAAGGAACTAGACATGAAGCCATTGCAAAATGCAGAGTACAGAATCTGAATCAATTTTAAAGAAAATAATTTGGAAAATCATAACAAACATGAGGTTGAAAATGCAGGCCTATTTGCTGATATATTGGATCAATATGAAAAATAAAAAGCAATTTTGCTCAAACAAATTAGGTGAATTTAACATCAATTTCAATATGTATGTACCACAGTGTTTAACAATTCATGACATCAATCAATCATACAGCCATATTGAAGCATCTAATAGATTAACCAATTGTAAAAATAAAGCGATCAATTAGAAAGGAAATACCAAAAAGTTCAAATATCAAAGCTCTATACGTGAGAATCATGAAAATTCTGAAATCTACTATTGCCTAGCAACATACAAGTAAATGTGGGTCATATAAGTACATGTAGTGTTCAATTGTCTTCAAAAGAGATAAAGTAAAACACTATCTCCCACAGGAGAATAAGCTTTTACAAGGAGCAATATGTCAAATAAACATACCCACAATTATTCTAGCCAGACAGATATGTGACTGCATTTTTAGTTTGTTCATTTTTATCTGATATATATAAACCCTTCACCACATGTTTCAGAAATTACAGTATACTTAAAATGGGACCTTTATGAATTA